AGATCAACCCCCGGATTGAAATTTGGATTTCGGTTTCTGGTTTGCCTTTATATGATTATGACAATCGAATTAGTGAAAGTTGTGTGTTTGGCAAACATCATCGGAATTCTTTGAAGGCTAGATCATGGAGAGAAAGTCAACCACTCAAGCTCAAGCCAAACAATCGACCCTAACAAGAGGAAGGGAGCCTTGGGAGCCCTTATGCGGCTGATAGAGGAGTTCTTATTATCAGTCTAGCGTTAGGGGAATCTATTACGGAAACAGGGGTAGTATTATAAAGGGCTAATCAGATGTTGTTCTTCATTTTTTTTGCATGAGTTTGTTGACGTAAGTTACTAGGGGGAGGGTCAATCGTTTCCTTCTTTCACTATTAGTTGATCTAAAGACTTTTTTGGTTATTGATTGCACTAGACTAGAAAGGACAACAAACACACAACTTCCACCCACATACAAGAAAAAAAAACAAGCCTAGTACTCGGAAAAAAGAGGATCCAATTGACATAGCTCAGTTGTTGAAAAGAAAGAAACCCATAGTTCATCATAGATAAGCAAGTGTCTTGCTCGATTACAAAACACGAAAAAAGAAAGAGCTAAGCGCTTGTAAATTGATTCTAGTCTCCCCCCCGGTCACCGAGGGCGACAGCCCGCACAATGAGCTCTTGCTGTTCTTCGAGCAGCGCCCTCTTCCTGTTTTCGAGATAGCGGATTTCGTTCTGGATAAAAAGCATACGAGATCGTATGAGAATTGGATCGATAGCAGGCATATGTTCCCAGAACGCACCCAGCATTTGCTCTCGTTGGAGCTTCTCGTTTTCCACCTGACATATTTCTTGTTTCATTCTCTCAAGTCTTCTAGTGATATCCATGGCTACTCAAAGCTCTTTCTTGCCGACTTCTAAGTTCGGCCCCGTCTCCCTTTGCCAAATAGAGACTGAAAGAAGCTTCTATTTATAGGCGTTGGAGGCCCTTAACCCTTTCTTCTTATTAGTAAGATAGGTTGTCTTGGTTCCGTAACATGGATCATTTCAAACCTGGCTTTTCATGAATATTGAACCACATCCACTAAATTTGAGTGCGCTGAATAATTATCCCCGTACGGATTTGAGTACGAAAGACCCACCCCAAAAAGCGAATAGTCCCTTGTTTTTCGCGGGTATCGCCACGCGGCTTAACCCCGATCACCCCCTCAAGAATAGGAGGCAATAATAGAGCGCCCAAGCGAAGCGTCAATTCTGCTTTAAATAAAGGGGAGTACTCCCCTTTCTCTAATAATAAGGCAAGCTTGGGTTCCAAACCCCCTTGTTGAGATAGGGCAATCGTTACTCGCCAGCTCCGTCCTAGCTTAGGAAAAAGATGTTTGGCCGAACCACTATCTCTTTCTTGATCTGATTAGACGCTTGCTTTTTCCCGCGTGCTTGTTCTCTTGATATTCTTTCTACAACTATAGATTTGGAGCCAATCAGGTATCACCGCGTGTCAAACTGTGTCAGGCGGGAGACATAAGGAAGATTCAGCGGATTCTTTTCCAATGAGAACTAGACAGGCGTCCCATATCCCCATGTGCATATAACTCACTTTCGACACTTCCGTCAGTTCTCCACGTGCACATGTCCAAAAACCTTCTAGAACATCGACTCTGTACTTCTTGCAACTTCATCTCCAGAACGAAACATACCGACTCTATATCCTGAGGGAAACTGGAACACGATAATGAAGAACGTAGCTCTACACCCTACGGGAGTTGGAATGCAAGCACGTCATCATCCAAATTTAGAAAACGTGGACTCTAGACCTAGAGGGAAGTTGAAGATATGGAAGTAGAAAGGCCACAAACCTCAATTTTGACTTGACTAACGTTCCAAAAATGCTGTTCACGCTTACTTACTTATGAGCAAAACGGGTTATAAAGAATCCGCCCTTTGAATAAGCGACAAAGAGTACACCGTTCAAACGAAAGACCAAACGAAGATGATGGGAATGAAACTCAAGATCTTATGATTTTATCCTTAGGCCAACTCACGAGCTGGACTCGAACCAGCACTTCCGGATTAATTACATCTAGCTTTATACCAATGATCGTTATTTTTGGTTACCCGGTTCATCCTACGCGATTACTTCCGGGTCAGTCCTTTTACCCGACAAACGGAAAACCTAAGGTTTGTTTGATCTGAAATCCATTTTGGTACGTTGTCCTTTTCTGAAATGGGAGAATCAACTTGCTGGTGGATCTCGTGCTTTCTTTTTTTGAGCACTTTTCACAAAGTCAACCTGAAGGAAGTCTCGCGTTTCATTATTCTCCTTCTTGAAAATGTTTCTGAATTAGATCCTTGATTAGACAGTCATAAGAAGCAATAACCAGATCTATAAAGGAAGAGCTGGTTATAAGCCTGTCTTTTATCAGTCTTATTTCAATAATGAATGAAAGGAATTTCTTATTCACTTCAGTGACGCATTCGCTCTCTTTTGAAGCGATGTCAAATTCTCACCCCTCTTTCTCAAT